GAGAAAGGGAATATGTTTTCTCACAGTGTAGGCTGAGCCATTAAATTTGAATGTCAGTGAGTTCCTCTCTGCCTATTAAGCCTCTTAAAACACTCATAAGCCTTGTTTATGCTTAGGTTTCATGTCTGTCTAAGGAATCATGGGGAGGACTTTCTCACTTTCAGGGTGGGTTTTGGTTTGGGGTTTTTTTCCTGCACAGGCAAGATCTGTCTGAGCAAGGGCTTGCTCATTATGGCGGGGTGTTGTTTTTTTTTTTTTAGGGCGGTGTATTGTTTTTATTTTTATAGAGAAGATATGAACATATTTTCTTTCAAAGAAAAGTGTTAAAGTAGGCTATCTTGTCTTCCAGTTTTTATGGTATTATATATATCACAAAAAAGATTTACTCTGGTTTCTGCTGTGTGTATTTTCTGTAACGACTCTGTGGATGACTTAAAGTGTTTCTGGAATCAGTTACCAAGAAGTGAAATGTTATTAACTGAAAAGAAAAACGATCCATCTTCTTCAGACACATATTTCAGGTTTTGCATTTAATTTAAAATAACATAAATGAAGTTACCTCACAGCAGAAGAAAACCTTTCTTCCTAAGAGTGTAATTGTCCTCCTACCAGTTTGAACTTCTGAATCTACTGGTCTGGATTCATGTTGTCCACTGCCAGGACAGAAGTGGTCTGGTTTAGTATGGGATAAAAAACCTTTTTGGACATCACAAAGCAACAAAAAAAGTCATAATACTCTATTGTTTTGTTATTTCTTTGGTGGGTCACTTGGAGAAGTATTTTCTCAGCTCAAAAAACAGTATCTCTGCCTGAAAATTCGATTTCAGCTGTCACCTTTAAAAATATTTATGAAATCTGAAAGGAAATTGAGGGTTATTTTTCTCCTTTCCTGACCTTGTTTTCTATATTTGGCAGTATTGAATAATGTATGTGTAACTGCATAATCAATTTTGCATCTGTGCTGATAGGCAATTTCATTTCTTAGTCTCTAGTTCAAAAGTTACTTCATCATGATAGTGCACTGCTGTGTTAGTATGTGTTCATGAATTTCTCCTGACTGGGATTAGAGCATTTCTTTGGAGCTGGCGGATCTGAAATATGCCCTTGTGCCTTTTTTGAAATAGGAAAAGGCTTTTGATGATGGGTGTGGAGAAGGGATTGTTGGTTATTCATGCAGGTGAAGCTGTGGAACGAAGATTGAGCCTTAATTCTGCAGATGCTTCCATGGGACAATGGAGCACAATGGGGAATGAATAAGACACTGGGATAATCATGAAGCCTTTATTGGACCTGGCAAAGAAGCATACTTGGCTTTTTTAAGCAGATGATCACAGCTTTGATCTCTTTTCAAGAAGTGGGTTTTTTTTTTTTCCAAGAAGTGGGGGTCATAGTTCCAAAGCCTGAAGTTAATCCTACTGGAGACCTGCAAAAGAAGGGATGGCTGTTAGACAGACTTATGTGCCCCCTGTTCTGCCAGTGGTGCTATTAGAGTTATCTCAACATCAGTAGGGGTTGCAGGTGCAGAACCAAAATGGTAGTTGTCTGTCCAGAGGTCTCAGATATTTCTTTGCTCGTGTTGGTACAGTTGGAATGAATCTTAACCAGTGTTTAGAAGGAAGGGACAGAGGGGAAAAATGTTTTCTAGCATATAAACCTAAGCAAAGTCAAAGGAGAAAAGGTTACTAGATGAAATGTTTGCCATGCAGAATACATGCAGGTAATATACATCACTGCTAAATAAAGGCTACTTGAAAAATATCAAGTGTTCTTTTAAATACCAAAATAAAATGTATTTGTATTTATAATTAACCTTAGATGCAAATTCTCCTTCATAAGCAGATGCGAGTCCATTAGCTTTGATGAAATTTAGTAAGCTTCATCAGAGTTAGTTTTGGTTGTTGAAGCAGATGAACTCTGCAAAGAGCTTCGTGCTTGCTTGGTTATTCAGGTTTTTTCTTCAAAAACAAATATAGGCAAAAAAGTTTTCCAGTACAGGAATGTTTTAATTTTTGCTGTGGAATTTGGTTTTTATCATTTCAGTGATACTCAGCAGATATGTTAAGGAACTAACCAGAAGATACAAGTTAACTTGCTCTTTTTCTCCTTTAAGGTGGTTTCATCTGGAGTCCAGACAAGGGAAAAGAACTAAAGACAGAGGAGAAATAAAAGTCAATATTCAGTTTACAAGGAATAACATGACAGCAAGTATGTTTGATTTGTCAATGAAGGACAAAACCAAATCCCCTTTTGCTAAACTAAAAGACAAAATGAAAGGTCGAAAAAATGATGGGACATTTTCGGACACATCCTCTGCAATCATCCCAAGTACTCACATACCTGATGCAAACGTAGGAGTATGTAGTGGTGAAGTACAAATGAAATCAAAACCAAAAAAACCTTTCCTGTTGGGACCTCAGCGGCTATCCTCAGCTCATTCAATGTCAGATTTAACAGGATCTCATGTCTCCTCAGAAAAAATGAAATCCAGCACAGTTGGCTATTCTCATCTTTTCAGGCGTCAGCTAGAGTCTTTTGGTTCAGTTGATGAAGGTGGTAAGTATCATGACCTTTATAATTACAGCCCACTGCTATTAGAGCATTCAGAAGTCTGTTTCTTCAGTTCATGAAGCAATTGCAAGGCTAAAACGTTAAGTATTACCCATTAGTTGGTGGTTACTCATAATTGCTGTTTCTGAACATAAAAGATAACAAAGTGGTCATAATATATAATAATTTAGCATTTTTCTTCTTATGTCCTCATTTAAGAGTATACTGTAGTGAAGCATTGCATTCTAGAGGGAACTCTAGGCAAAACAGTGTCTTGTGAAAAGTAAAAATCTATTTAAAAAGTAGAAAGCTATCACCAAAGTTTTAAACCTGATTTATACAAAGAACTGAATATACTTAGCATTGTTCAAAGTTACTGTGCAGCAATAGACACAAATACTGTGTCGCTTTCTGAGATGCCACACTAGTCATAGCTGTCTTCTTCTAGAGCTTAGTTTTCACACAGGAAACAGAAGATTGCTGTAGTGTCTATTCATAATCAATTGCAAAGCTCCTAGACCTAAGCTAAAACGGGTTCTCTGCATGTCATAAGCTACATTGTGGTGTCTCATTGATAATATACTAATGACCAGTTGTTTGCAGGGAGTCTGAAATCTCCACATAGAAGGACATTAAGTGTTGACACTTCTAAAATGAGCCAGCTTGACAGCACAGCTGATGAAACTGCACTTGAAGCACAAAATGACCCATTTACCAATGTGAGTGCTTCGTTACCCCAAAAATTTGCTACACTGCCAAGACAGAAGAACCCGTTTGAAGAAAGCCCAGCAACATGGGATCAAAACATAAGCCTGTTTTCCAAACCTGTCGACATCAGAAAAGAAATTAAAAAAGAGAAAAAAGAGAAAGTTAGTCTGTTTGAAAGAGTGACTGGAAAAAAAGATAGCAAGAGGTCAGATAAACTGAGCAATGGGGGATCAGACAGTTTTACTGACTTGAAATCACCTAGTGCGTTTGGTGAAACTCATCAGGAGAGTTTTGATTATGATTCGACTAATCCGTTTATGACAAACTTCAAGCCTACAAGCATGTTGCCATCTTCAAGGTAGGTTTTTGCTGTATTTTGATCTGATATCTTGAACATGTTATATAAATGAAAATGTGAAGTGTCGAGGAACACTATCTTTGTGCTTTATATACGTTTATATCATTGCTTATCTGTTTATAAGTAGAAGTTATGAACTTACATAGTTTGATCTTTTCTTACTTCATTTTGAAGTTACATTTACATTACTAATATATACTGTGAACATTCTTGGGAACTTTATGTTTGTGGAAGACCTTGTTTGCCCTTCTTGAAAGTCTTCTGTTTTCACTGAACACTCATTGCTAATTATTAGAATGCCCTAAGTCAGGTTTTAAGAGGGAAAGGTTTCAAGTGAAAGATGAAACAGAATAAACAAAAAGGTGAAGAAGATGTGAGTAATGAAAACAAAATGGGTGCACCCATGGGCGCTTATTATGCTTGAATTCATTTGGCTCACCATAGCTTTGCTGAGTTCCTGTGTATTCAAGTCATTGCACAGGGCAGCAGTTTATGTGTTAAGCAGAGTGAATTAAGTTACCTGGGCTGATAATGAACTTTGATTTAAATAATCCATTTTAATCTTTCTCTGTCTACCAACAATTTATTTGTTTTCCTTTGGGGAAAAAAAAATTGTATCCTACAGTTAGTTTCCTTTAGGGCTTTTGTTTGCTAGTCAGGGAAGATATATTGTCTCTGTCTCTCCTCATATATATGCATATGTATTTATACACACACAAACACACCCCAAATATACCGTTCCCAAGAGATAAATGTTTAAGTTAATTATGTAACTTTTATTATTTTGCATTTTTTTCTGTATATTAATTCCAGAAATTAACAATCCTTTGTTATTTTTTTTTTTAAGGGAATGATTCATTTCTATTTAATGACTTAAATTTGGTAGAAATTGAATTCCAAATTAAAATGCTCCAAACTGGAATTTGACAGTTGTAAAATAAATCACTGCTGTAAATGGTAAACACGGTTTTGACAAATTTGCCTTTTCCCTGTCTTATTAATTCCATAATTAATGACACAGTAGTATTTTCTTTAAAACAAATGTTTCTTGTTATCTTGTTCTTTAAGATTTTAGAACAGATTGATCTTACTGTATGTTTTATTCATAGGTTAGAATGCATGCACTCCCGATTTAAACTTACAATCATTTTCTCAACAAAACTAATCATGGATATGAAGTAGATAAATAGACTGAAATGAAACTACTATAGAAAAGATTCAGTTGCCAGAAGCTCATACAGACTTCAATGGATTATCTTCTTAGCATCTTCTATGAGTCAAGTTAGTTCCTAGTGTCTTAAATAACATGTTTACAGACAGTCTGAGAATATTATTTACTTAATAAAGGTTTTCTGTAGATTAGAGTAAGGTTAGGATGTAGCTTGATTTGTCAGAAGTTAAACTTCCATTTGAATAAGCTCCTTTACAGAGAAATCATTTAAATAACAATTAAAATTACATAGCATTTAATTTTTTTAAATGAAAAAAATGTATTCAGGCAGATGCTAGAAATAAGTGGTGAAATCTTTTGAAGTTCTTGAATGCAGCAGATCTTTATAAATATAAATTTTTAATGGTAATCATGATGGGCTTTTTTTCCTTTATTTTGTAATTAAAAAAGCTCATCACAGTGCCCATTCAGAAGGACTCTAGTCAATTGTTCCCCCTCTTTGTCTGAGTCTCCTTTAGTAGTTCTCGACTTTTATGTAAGCATAAACTTTTGATAAGAGAAATAGATATTCTGTTGTTTTCAAAAGCAAAAAAAGTAAACATTTTGACCTTTTCTACAAGACAGCTATTATGGAAAAATATCTAGCATGTAATAATTTCAGTTAGAAGCTCTCAGTTTTAATGTACTTCAGTATTATGTACTGTGAGAAACTTAGAACAAGTTCACTTTCTTTCAAATGTATCTTGTACAATGATTTTCTTTTGAAGTAGAAACTAATACAAAATGTGCATATTTAATAAGTTTACAGTTTAGGTTTACCTTTTATCTGTGGAGGATTTGTTGAATAGAATCCAGTTTTAATTTTTCAGACTAGTAATACTGTGAAGAAAGAGCTGTATAAATCTGCGGGCACAAAATCAATGAGCTTCAGTAACAAATCCAATATGCAGGAAGCATATACGAGGAGTTTAGACTTTTGAGTTGTTTTCTATTTGCTTAATGTGCTATTTAAGCTCTTTTGAACAGATATCATTTCTGCAACTAAACCAGGCAGTATCTTTTTCTTAAGGTGTATCCAGAATCTGTGTTCTATTGCGGGTGAGTTCCACCTTGCTTTGCAGGTGGATCTCCCAGTTAACTCCACTAAGCCTTGGTTTGAGTGATGGAACGGTCCTGCTGCTGGGGCATGTGAACTGGATTCGTGTCTGATGAAGCTCAGATGGAAAATGTATTCTGGGAGCACCCTGTAGCCACAAAAGGACATTCAGTCCATGGGACCAGGCTAGAAATAGTGCAAAGTCAAGAAAACCCCACAGCAACCTTCTTCCTCCACTGGCCAAAAAATTGACCTTCATGTGCACAGTGTGAAGGTCAGGTTCTTACCACCCATGAACTTATTATGTCTGTAAAGTTAATGGGAGTCTTTTCAGTGACTTTGGTGAGCTTTGGGTTAGGCTAAAGTCCATTCTAAATTGTTGTTGACCAAGCAGTAATGACATGCAGGACAGGAGCTCACATCAGCATCACTAGGTGACTTACAGAACAGAGCTGCAGAATAGCCCTTCACCCAACCAGTCATTAAGTGCTAGCTAGCTGTGTGCAGGCTCTGTCACTAATTAGTCTCACTAATTAAAAGAATGAAGATAAATACGTCTTCCACATGTTTCTCAGCTGCTGACACAGAAAATGTAGTAGTGGTTCAGCAACAGTTACAGGATTTTTTTTTTTCTCCTAAAAGCAAGGAGTATCCCAGGATTATTCGAGAATTATTATTTATTTTTATTGCTATTATTTATTATTGTTATTTCAAAAAGGTTTAAGTATTTTGGGAAAGCAAAACAAAACCTGCCTGGTTTGTATATACTACTAGTTGTCAGGAAATCACAAAATATGAACTCCTAATTTCTATTGATCTCTGCTCTGGCAAAGGCTTATTCTGTGGCTTTGGCTAAATCACTTAGTTTCCTTGCTCCTGATCTGTAAAATAGGGATGATATTTTGTTACCTTTTACAGATGCTGAGTGGATAAATGATTATTTTTTAAGGGTTTTATAGATACAGTATTACAGTATTACATAAGTGTTAAGATTGGGGGTTTTTATTGTCTAGTGTAGGTGTAATATGGATATTTATGAGCTGATTTCTTGACAACTTAAAAATGCTGTAGACTCACAGTGAAATAAGAAATGCTGTTTTTGCAAATATTACAAAATCTGTTCGTTCCAGGGGATTTATATTACACAACCAATGAAAAATTCTTAAGCTCACAGTATGTCTAGTATTTTAAGCCAGCATTTACCAATAATAGTTTTGTCTTTATACTTTTTAATTCATTGCTTTGAAACTTTGGCCTAATACTATCTTAAATTGCATTCATTCATACAATAATTGCTATTGCCATGGCTCTCAAGAGGTTAATTTGCAGGCAGAAGCCACGTGGATTTTGCATTGAACACAGTTAAAGAAATGGAGGGTTACTCCTGGAAAACAAAGATTGTTTTTGTGCCACGTCCAAACGTCGTGCATCATCTCTCTGAAATTGTTTGTGTTTAGGAAAATACACTAGAGTCAGCTAATAAAGTGATGTGCAAATTTCTCAATTTACACCACTTGACAAGTGCTAAAAGAAAAACATCTTTAATTTTAATGTGTTATTAGGACCTTTTTAGAGAGATTGTACAAGTTATTAACAAGGTCCTCTGAGACAGGAGACGGGTAATTAACAAGACCTACAGAAAGAGAGTTTAGGTAATTAACAAGATCTTAGGCACTGGACACAGGGAAACAAATAGTCCAAAATCTAAAGCTGACAGGTTGTTACTAGTCTGATCAAATTCCAGATCTAGAGAACTGAATTGATAGGTAGGAGCTTTCTAAGAATCATTCTTTCTTTTTGTATATATACATATATATGAACACATTATATATAAAATACGTATACACAATGTGTGTCTGTATATAAATACATGTATACATAAAGAGAGACACGTTAAAGAATCCTTTTAAAGTAGCACTTCCATGACCTAAGTATTGTTATTGTACTAGGGAAAAGAAGGCAAAGCTTTTGCCTACATACTGGTTACACTTTATCTCAATTTCTGGCAATAGATATTTTACATTCTGGGCAATGTGGAAGATGGAATAGTGGAGGAGGAAGAAACATTTATCCTACTAAGATTCACTGTAGCAATTATTAATAATGTTCATTTTTATAACATTCTTTGTCTATTGGAGAACAAAATACAAAAATCTTATAAATCTTTTTTTCTGTGTTCATTTACTGCTTCAGCCTTTTTTAAAAATTGCAACTCAAACCCCCAAAGCCCCAAATCGAAACCAAACAAAAGCACCCCCAAGCAAACCCTTAAACTCATCTCTTTTGCATCTCTCTTGCTTTGTCTTTCATTTCTGAATGTAGTTATTTTCTTGAGCCTCACTCCCCCATACTGTCATCACAGGTATCTGTCAGAGCTGCCTGCCTCTCCGGAGATGTGTGTCCCAAACAAATCAGTATCGGCAGTTTCATTTTTCCCAATGGATGCAGTGTTTGAAATAAGCAGTTTTGATATGTTCATTTGGAAAAAAAATCAAGTGAGGTGCCGTGAAAACATGAGTTTCTTGATAACTGCAATGTGCTCAAATCATACTAAATCATTAAGTCTAAAGAACAGGTAATATCTGCTCCGTTACAGCAAATAGTAAAATGTTGTATGTGTGACGGTCAATTAGTTAGAGAAGCTTTTGCAAAATCGTGGTGTTACTGTGACTTTCTAGATTACTGTTGTCAGTTGAGTTGTTAGTAGAGCATGTGCCTGTCTCTAGTCAACTG